TCTACGCTAGTTGAGCTAGTAGACGAAGCCTTTTCTTTCAGTGCAGACCACATGGAATAATTCATTGACTTGAAATAAGGCAAATTTCACGGCCAACATTCCCTGCGCCGAAAGTCTGGAAACTGCTGTTGACAGTTGGCAATCGTTTATCAAATCGAATACGCAAGACTTAAGTCCTGTTAGAGCGTGAATCCGTCGACATCAAAGTGTTGAGTGCTTCAAGGCTTCAACACGTCCCGTGAAAATTGCTGACAATAGATGGGCAGCGGTAGATTTCGACGTTTCGCTGATGAAGACCAACGGCATTTTTCCAGTAGCGCAAATGCCGGCCCAGACCCTCACACAGGCCACAAAACGACTGTGGTCTATGGACTTTGCTATTGCGGACTACCGCTGACCCTCGTTGAAAATTTGACGTTGATCGTGGCGATTGTGAAGCGCTTCGTCTAGGACACGAGCTTGGGACGAAGACGGCGAGAACGTGTGTTAGCATCTTGTGCAACTCAACTACTGTGTTTCGTTGATTTTCACGATCCATATTTTTAACATAACTGAAAACATACAATTAAATGAGAAACGCTCTAGATTACAGCTAAACAAGGAATTCAGTGAAATCGTCGGAATTGATAAAAAAAATACCACGTCAATGTTGAGGCTAATAAAATGAAAATTATCAGAACTTTTAACGCATCCTGTATAAAACGCTACAGTTTTAGTATTGACTGTGGAGATAAATGTTTTCATTTGAATTCCAAAAAAAAACACAATTGTGAGGAACAGAATCTCCCGTAAGCCGTCAGAACGTAAAGAAATGACGGAATGCTTTAGCTATGTATATTTAAATCAGTAATTGATAATCCTCTATCTACCGTGGAGTATAGTAGACCTTGTGTCTTGTAGCAAATGTGGATTCACAACTTTTCACGACCTTAATTAAGCAGCCACTTCAAAACGTTGTCGATGTATTAACCTTTGGTTATGAATAATCAACTAGAATACTTTCAACCTAACCGCGTTTGGCGCTGGTAAGATGTCATAATATACACTATGATAAAGAGTGATATGGAAAAACATTTGCGTCAGGTTGCACTACCGACACCCGTTTTGCTTTGCATATAACTCTTTATCATTGGGTATATTATAACATCTTATCACCGCTAAATGCGGTCAAATGAAAAGCATTCTGATTGATTCTTGATGCCCAATATCTGTCAGTATAAATGGGCTCAATATCAATAGCGACTACTCACGGCAGACCGTTTACGGTTGGCTGTTGACACATAACGCGTTGTGGAGTAGAAAGAATGGTGTGCAAAACGAGCATCGGTAGTGCAGCAATTCAGCACGCGTCCACGGATAGCGTGGAATGTGTATTCGAATCCCACCTGATGTAAATGCTTTTCTAAATCACTCTTTATCATTGGGTATATTAGCCTTTGGTTGTCTTGCACGAACATTAATTACACCTACATTGTGGTTAAAACTTGATGTGTTGAAATACTGATAGAAGAGTAACATCGCGTGCTCTTTAGTCCTTTCAGAATACTTTTGCCTTTTTTGCACGGAGTTCTTTGGCAACCCATAACTATCCGCCTTTTAACTCTTCTTCGCGTACAGTAGCTATGAATCACCTGTATCACCTGCCTTCCGTTGATCGTCGAGTGACCCAAGCAGGTGCCAACAACACTTCAATTTTTCCTATCATGTGCTCAAGTAGCCCCGTGGATCCTGCTCGCTCTAAAGATTCGCTGAGCATCATATCTTTCTTCTAAACTTTTCGTGAAGACATCGAACGATCGGGTCGGTGGTCTTCCTGTAGAGCGTTTGATATTCTCAGGAACCCAGTCGGTAACGACTCTGGTCCATCGGTTGTCGTTGAAGCGCAGCACGTGTCCGAAGCACGTTATTTTGATAGCCTGGAGTGTAGACGGCTCTTGAGCCTGAGTGTAGAACGGCATCTTTGATCTTCAACCGTTGATGAAGGTTGGAATTTCGAATCCTTCCTCTCATTTGCGAGATACGGAATACTACTAGCATCAACCTTTAGACTGCGCGTTCAATGATGTCAAATGATCCTTCATCTGCTGAGTCGAGAGTGTTGAGTCGAAAAGGTGGGCATGGAATCCGATGTTCTTGATGAAGCCATGAATAGCTTGTAATAGACCATAGTAGACGGATTTATGCAAAGGACACGTAGGTCTAAGTTGCGCAGGATTTCTTCAAGAAGCAGGTGATGGGCAAGGAAGTCTCTGGTGTAGTGATGGATGCCCTTAGTTCTATCAACTACACATAGTGTCATTTGAGTCCGTAGTGAAGTGGGAACTGCACCAGGTACAGGGCAACACAACAAGAGACACTCAACATGAGAGAGAAGATGACAGAAGCCATCATGAGAAGTGATGTTTATAGCTTAGAAAAAATGGATCTATGAAAGATCGATCAGAACCCAGGGAACAACGAATGGAAGTTTTATTTATGGTTCTTCAGAAAACCCATTCCTGAAGTGTGATAGTAAACGATAAATTGAAATTTGAGTGTGGTATTGAGAAATCACTGGAAACGAACGGTATGATACTTCATAAATACCAGCCAAGCGCAGTCGAGTGTACAACACCTTCCATTAGTGGTTTATTTTACTTGATGACACGTGTAAATAATACGTCTGCGTTTCCTCTATGTGGGTTGGGTTCATCCTGAGAGGGATTGGTAAGACGGCGCCTGCAACTGACAATGCTGCAAAGCCGAAATCCGTGTATTGCACCATTCAAGTGCCCATAACAGATCACACGCATGGCTCAAGAAATAATTATCAGACACATTGAATTGAACGTGGTCTCAAGAAAACACTTGAAACGAATCGGAAAATTCTTGCGAATCATCTAGGAGATGGTGTTTGTATGGATGAGCAGTATCAGTTTTGACGAACTACCCCGTTTTATACTTTTCAACTAATACGATGACCTTGGATATTGCTCATTATAAAAGATTACTAAAGCTGAAAGATTTCTATCGAATAACCTTTGTACAATTTTTTACAATCGACTGAAGACTCAGAGAGTGATTACGTAGCAGATCAGTGCTTTTCCCTGTTACACACAATAGTTACATGTGCACCAAATTCATGAGAGAGTGTACAGAAAAATATGGAGTTAATAAGAAAACTAGAGAATCCCATATATACAAAGTAGAACTTTAATAAATTACGAAAATGCTCATTGTTTCCGAACAGTGCAGTGCGCAGCAGTTTCAGCTGCTTTCCCAAAAGAGTTAAAATTTTGAATTAAATAAGCGTCTACTGCACAAAAAGCTCTTATTCGTGATTTTCATCATTTCATTTAGTGGAGAATGTCGAAACGCTTCTCACGCTGGGTGATCGTTACAATTTCGAGTGTGTTCTGGTGAAATGTGAGGATTTTCTCATCACTTCCGCCAGCTGACGAAATCGACGTCTTCACACGTCTCGAGTGGGCTAGCAAGTACGCAATGGCTGATCTGCAGGTATTTCTATGCTTCTTCGTGCATGCGCCCAGATGTACCGGATAGTATGCATGGCAAAAAACAAAGAAAAAATCATGTTCCGGCGTTGATCAATATCTAAGGTGTGCCATATATATACGACACATTTAGGAAGTCAACAGAGATGAATGTATAAATGTCTAACTATACAGTGATTCACAGTGGTCTACCAATGTTCTGAGTTATTGCTGCTATACTTCCAAAAATTTTGGTACCAATTCATCGAATGAAGAAGCATGGGGGACCTTGTGAGCCTCTGACGTGAAGTCGAACCAATTTTGTGTCGCAGGGCTTCTCTCACCGCTGCGACACACTCTCCTTGATGTGTGATAGATACCCATTTATTACATATTCGTCTTTTCATCGTCATTGATATCATTCGATTATGGAAAAATCGTTCATTGCATTCTGTTTAGGTACACTCCAATGTTCTTTTCGTCCATCTATCATCTTTCTTCTTATTATATGGCTGGCCTATGCGTGCTTGCCACTGATGCAATTATTTCCGTAATTCCGTATCACAGATGTGGGATAGATTTCGAAGATCTGTGTTGCTCAAAATAATTAGACGATGCGAGTGCCGACTGGATTTGTAAATACATTGTTGAAGCTGTGGTGGCGCATATTCTTGACATTGATGTATTGATGTGGTATCAGCCCACGTCTCTGCTGCATAGCAGTTTGCAGAAAGGAGTATCGAATCGAGCACGAGAACCACGGAGGCGACATATCGTCCTATCAAACCCATTTTTCTGTGGATACGGTGAGAAATCAATAAGAAAAGCGCATTTTTGCGCCGCAGTTCAATAGCAGCCGCTAATTTTCGCGTACAGGACTGCTCTACACCTTGGTCGATAAGTGGTGATAGGATTGTATTCGATCCAACACTGTCGAAAGTTTTCTTATAGTCGATAAAAGTTAGAACAAGGGGCATCGGTATTCTCGACAGACTTCAATAATCCATGACACGGCTTGGATTTTATGCAACAATCCCCCTTAACAACGTGATATCATATGTCTTGTGAGAAGTACATGAAGATTTTAGCCACAAGCTTCAAAGAATCTGGTTGTGATTTGCCATATCTTGGGCTGTGCCTCTTTTCATGCTTCAGCTTGAACTACACAGGCAAAAATCTCGAATAGTTTCTTACCGCTGAGGACTCTCATGTCGATACGGGAGTTGTGAAACGGAAAAGTTTGGTATAGAACTTTACAGCTATCACTTTCTATCATGGCAAGGCGTAGTAATGACCCAATCTCCATCCATTAGTGGGGATAGCGGAATATATAGTTGCAGAGATCCTGGCGACATTCTTTTGACTGGATCTTGTTTGTTCTGCTTCTGAGAACTTTTCCAACCTATATCGATGTAAATCTTCCTGTGATAATCTTCCACAGCTGACATTTTTCCTTAGTCTGATCAGCATTGTTGCGAAGAACCAAGTTCATATATACCTAAGAGAAATGAGATGTGAACAAAAAACGGCCTCAGGCGGAAATCGAACCCGCGTTTCATTCTATCTGAAGACGCGTGCTTTACCACTACCACCGAGGCACATTTGCGTCACCGCTCATTCTTCAGCATCTCTATGTTAGCTACTAGCTATCAACCTTCTAACAGGTTTGGTCGGGTATGCGATTTCGCTTTATAAAGCCAGTTGAGCTGACAGCCATTGTCATAACTAATACTCGAAATTTCCTAGCATTTTTGCTGCATTTTTCGCAGTGTTAATATGTTTCATGTATGCCTAAGGTAATTTTTTGCTCACCATTCAATTCTCTTAGGTATACATGGAACATAATGACACTGCAAGAATTGCAATAAAAATACTAGAAAATTATGAGTATTGTTTATTACAATGGCTGTCGTCTCAACTGGGTTTCATAAAGCGAAACGCATACCTGACCAAACCTGTCAAAATGTTGGTGGCTGATAGGTAACATAGAGATGTTGAAGAATGAGTGGTGATGCAAATGTGTTTCGGTGGTGCAGTGGTAGAGCACGCGTCCCCGGATAGGATAAAACGCGGGTTCGATTTCCGCGTGAGGCTATTTTTGCTCACCACTCAGTTCTCTTAAGTATACATGGAACGTAATAACACTGCAAAAAATGCAGTAAAAATACTAGAAAATTTCTAGAACCAAGTTCAGTTTTTTTGAGTGCTAACACGCTATGGATGCAGTTATGTTCAGCGAAATATAAGCGAGATAAGGAAAAAAGGATGATCGTGTGAAATATAATTTTAATTGGATTTTGCAGCGTTATAAAAGAGTGTTTTGAAAGACCGGCTGCGTACCACTCTAGCCAGAGATCTAAGCTTTCAAATGATTATTAGTACTCCTATGAAGAATTCTTGTCCAGCGAATGAAGTCGAATATTCATTTGTCTCCGTTCAACAGAGAAGTACCTGCTAAATGTTGGAGAATGTGCTAGTAGCTTGAGCCGCACGGGTCTACTACGAGAATACCACGCGCCACGCCTAATGGTTGCTTTGTGGCAAAGATCCGTCAGCTCAACCAGTGCTTATTTTCCATGTTCGAAAGATTATGGTATCGATTTTGTTAGGTTGACAGAGCATGTTGATTTGAAAACTGCTCGACAACAAGCAGACAATCATTGCCAATGTCTACGTGGAACAACTCCGGAACTTGGTCGAAGCAGTGCGAACAAAGCGTACGAAATAACTCAGTGTCGCCATTTTCCAGAATGACGCTTGGCCTCACAATGCAAAGTCGACTCATTACATTTTGGAGATAATAGGCTGGACCATGGTGCCTCACTCACCGTAGAGCACTGAAAATGCTATATCGAATCATCACCTCTTCCTCGCCTTGAAGCAGGCATCTGTGGGAAGAATTTTAAAGATTACAACCATCTCGTAAATAACCTCGCCAACTTCTTTAATCATCAGCCTTAATTCTTGCTCAGAGAAGGGCATCAATTCTCAGCGCAAAAATTGTTGCATACCATTGATCATGATCGTGATTATATTGTTGATTTTGATTTCTTTGATTGATTAACGACAGTGAAAGAACTTATGAAATTACCCGATATTTAGCATATCGATGAATCATGACTAGTAAAATAGAGGAAGCAGGAGAATGGCAAGATTCTAAGCAGGTATAAAGAGACAATTTTAGGACCACTGTGTTATGAAGTTAAACACTGTAGCAGACGTCGCGGCAGTAAAGAAAACATTACTGTATGGAACTCTGTCGCACGAGACAAGGAAATTGCTTCTCGATCTCATGTTCAAATTGAATAATATGTAGTGAATTGGTTTTACATACATTACAGCATTTTTTGCCCAGTTAAGTTTTCTAATGTATAAGTATGAAAAGTGAATATGTGAGATACTAGAAAAGCGAAAATCGTTTGCAGTGTGTCATGGAAACTCATGGCTCACTTTCTACGACTTCCTTTGCTTGTGTTTGAAACTTCTGTTCTCAATTCTTTGTTCTACTTCCTCATTAGAAATGAGCTACTTCAATTTGCATTTTTCTAATTGCTTACGTGCTGCACAGGAAATGGTACTATTCACCAGCGCCATGGGTATTATCATGTTGCTTTCATATAAGCCTATGTACTTTTCATCTATGACTGGTTTATTCATTCTCACCTGCCTATTGACTACACTTACGATTGGATGATGCTCGTTCCGGTTATGTTAATAGAATCATGATTATTTCGCTCTGACTACGTCCTATTCAGCGTAGATGGTGCCCTTCTTTTTTTCACCCTTTATATTCTAACTGCTTCTGATTACCTACCGAATGACACACACGGTGTGGAAAAATGTTATAGAATTAACTTAACCGAACTGCAGATGGCCGCCATAAGGCCTCCACTCTCCACGACACGGACCAAGAAGTATCGCACTGATAGTTATGTTCCATGACCAGAATCTTTTGATAGATGGACTAAATTTCTGAGCAGCAATTTTCATGCGATTTCAAAGTACTCACATCACTGAGTAACTACAGAATCATATTGTCGACAACACATTCGAGTCTAAGGATATAAGATTTTATGCACTTTTTTCTGTCAACTTATTTTGTTTTGCAGCACTTTTCTGCTGCATCATTTGTACCCTGTCGGCGGCTTATCCGATACAGATGTCACATTAAGCATGACTGCTGAGAATCTTTCTTTTTAATTGAACGATCCAGAAAAAAAAACTCTTTCGGACTGCTCCATTCTTTACCGATTGTGTGCTCAACTGTGCACAT